GTACGCGGAGGAATCTGTGGAGCTGGAAGCTGAGAACTGGCGACTGCGTAGTACAACTTTAGTACGCGGAGTATAGCTGTGGAGCTGGAAGATGAGAAGTGGCGACTTAGCAATACAACTTTAGTACGCAGAGTAGCTGGGGAGCACTATGTCCAACTTCGGTTGTTGCCTTCCTCGCCATGCTGCCTTGTCTCACAAAAAAAGGGGTCGGCGGCACCAGGGCGGAGCCCTTACAATTTGAGAAGCATGAGGCACCTGACTATGAAGTCATGAAGGCTCATGCGATTCTCACCCAACCTGCACTTCTCTTATGACTTCGACCGAAGTCGCGGCTCTTGGAGCGTCTGAAGTCCTCGGAACGAGCTCTAGACCTCAGCCTCCATGTGCCCGGTGGGCGCTCCAAAGAAGACGACCCGCTCCGATGTCCTCGGTTGGGGTCTTTCAACTGCCTTCTTCCGGCGGGGCATCACATGGCACCTGGGCCTTGTGTGTCATGTCAAATGTCGATCATGGGCGACCCTGAACCTGTCCCTATTGTCTCTAGTTGGCGCCAGTGGCGTTCCTATCGCCCTTCGCGGCCGAGATGCGGCAGGTCTTGCGCGGAGGCGCTCGCTTTCTCTGCCTCTCTCGGGAGCGCATGCGACGCTTGTTGCCCGGGCGTCTTCCAGAGGAGGACGAGGAGGATGAGTCATCACCTCGGGATGTGGGATTCAAACCACAGGAGCCACGTCAGGTCACACTGAGCCCCACAGCAGAGTACAGCTCTGCAGCTCTGCAGAGTGTAGACTGCAGACACTGTAGACACTGTTCCGACAGGCCTATACCGACACATTCTGCAACTCAATAAATGGGTTTAAGGGAAAATCTGCAGGAAACCCATAGTTTGGAGATGTTAAGGTGTAGACTTTCCCTTAAACCAATTCTAAGGGCAACACAATTCGATGCATTCCAGGGGGCTGTCATAGGAATCGCTCGAAGAGCCACGATCGCTGCCGGATGGAATCTCGCGACATTCCAACTTGAGATCCTCGATGTCCGCCATTCTCCGATGTTTTCGCCACCGATGTTTTCGCCAGCAAAGGTCCCTGAAATGCAAAGCCGATCCCGGCTTGAGCCCAAACGGATGGGTAGATCTGAGATAAAGCACCTGCAGGACTTGCATGAAGAAACGGATTGGAGAAGAGACTTGGCAAAGTCGCGCATCTTGTCAACAAAACCTCTCATGCCTCAGATGCGGCATTTCCAGACAAGCTACTACTTGTCCCACTTCGGCAGATTCGGAAGGGCAGCCTGAGGTTCAGATTTCCAAGATGATACTTTCAAGATTCCAATGCCTTCTCATCAGCAACACTAATGCCATTCAAAGTCCCGGTATCCACTTGAAATGGTCAGCTTGGATCCTCATTCTTCCTTGCGCCTGCTAAAGCTTCTTCCAGTTTCCTCCGCAGCTGCCTTTTCCGCTCTAAGAACACCTGGGCTTCAAACCAAAAACAGCGCACCCCTCTGAGTGCTCTCCAAACATTCAACATGTCACAATAATGGTTCAATGTCATGACAGCTGCTACCCGCGCAATGACTTAGCAACGCTCTGAGAGAGGGTCTTCTTCGTACACTCCCTGCAAACCCATGAAAGTGGATGGCACCAAGGCACCACCCGAGTGCCGGGTCTTGGAACATGGAAAATCCGAGTCGTGATTGGTCGGCCTTTTGGTCATCCATTCCTCCATCCGCGTTTCCCTGAGCAGCTTGTCCATCTGAATCCCAGTGGTTTAGTGTGCAGTGCATCGAAATCACAGGTCGAACTGACCTGTGAAACACCTTCTGCCGGCATAAGGTTTGGGCCCCAGGCATCCTGAGGCCCATGGGACTTGGCGGACTTGGCGGACTTGGCCTGCCAGACGTGAAAACAGCCGAGTCAGATGTGGAACAACCAATGGAGACGGGGTGAGGCAGTGGGGACATTCAGTGAGGCAGACCGGTGCTCTAGAACTTCCGTTCGGGAGTGCTTTCGACATGCGTTTTGTTTGCTCAGAGGCTTGTGCCACAGTTGTGGTAGCTCGCGTTCAGCTGCCGCGATGAAACAGTGCATGTGTATATATATATATATGTATATATATATATATGTGTGTGTGTGTCAAAAATATTCAAGAATGTCAGATCTTTCTACAAGTAGCCAAGAGCGTGAGGCAGGAAATGGCCGGACCCGCTAGACTCCGCTAGACCTGACCATTTTGTTCTGACACGACCTCCATCCAAATCCAAACCGCACAAGTCTCCACCTTGGGTAAGGCGACACCAGAGCTCTGCTCCTGTGCACAGGCGTCTTGGCTGGCTTGGACTCGGAAGACAAAAATCGAAACCCCACGACCCACTTCACCAGCTAGGTGGCTCACGGATCCTGATGCTCCTTCCTAGCAAAAGCAAGCAACATCGCCGTGAAGATCCTTGAAGTGCCTCTTACCGTCTTTCATCAACCCTTTCCCACTGAGGTCGCAGATTGCTTCCTTGGCGCCGAGTCGAAGTTTCAGGCGCGTGCCCGTGGGGGGGCGCTGAGCCTGCAAGCTGCGACTGGATGCATGTGGCATCCCCACTCTGAGTGCACTGAAGTTCCGGTGCCAACGCCCCGAACCAAAACATCACGTGGTTGATACGCAGCACCGGAGAAGTCATTGTTCACAACATTTTTCCAGATCACGGAGTCAACAATGTTTCTTGTTTTGCTGCTAAAACACTGATTCCGGTGAAAAATGGACCTGCACTCATGGGCCATGGCAAGGAGCAAGATTCCGGGAACCCAGCGCAAGAGCCTCTCGATTCTTGAGCAAGATATTACCAGCTTGAGTCAGCTAGGTGCTGGGAATGCTGCACTGTGCCCCGCGAAGGACTTTTCCCACTCTGAGTTTGGCTTACGATCCTTTCCTTTTTGGGAAGCGGTCCCTTGCCCCGCTGATCATGGCCTTGTCAAATCGATGGAGTCTGCCATAGTTTGCGCAAGCGCATGCTTCATTCATTGGAGTGCTTTGCTTGTTGGTCAACATGAAGCCTCATACTTGGTTATTCGCCAACGCTGAAGCCACAGGTTGGAGCCGCATGTGAGAAGCAAAACCATGCAAAACCCATCGTCAATGTCAAAAGGTTGATTTAAGAGGCACTCAGGGCATACAGTCAGCTCATCCACTGTACATATAAGGTTCTTTCCGTCGCCAAACTTGTTTCTCAAACTGGATGCATTTCTTCCCATCAAGGCGTACGCTCAGAATCATCAAGAACTAACTAATTTGTTTTGATTTGATCTAATGTGGCAATCCCCAGCCAGAAAAATCTCCCAACCAACTAAGATTGGCCATGCAGCACCACCTTTGGATGCCTTGCCAATCATTTGCAGTGAGATTCAGTGAGGCTGAGCACTATTCCTAGATTGCCATGGAGAACACACATACCCATCCCAAAGAACCGCATGGCTGTTTTGTGCGCCAGGCTGGTGCGGACGACTTGCTTCACGCGCTCCCAACTGGCAAACGTCACACACCTGGGAGCTCAAGGATCATGTCGAGTGCTTCTGGTCTGCGCCATCGGCGGACCAGGAAAGCTGATGCTTGACAAGGGGTGTCCAACTGGTGAATTTATAAATGTGCAAGGGAATGCGGTGTCTATATATCCACTCACTACATTGATTAGATAATCCTCAGTGGCCTTAGTGAGGGATGCGTACTCCAAGACATCCTTTACTGAAGCCAAAAGCCTGTTGCCTTGTCACGTTTTCCTTTCGACTGACAGAATATCGAACAGGTACATGAAAAAGATACTATAGAAAGATCCTTGCTTGCTACATGTGCATGCGAGCCCACAAACACACACACTTCCAAAACGAAACTGATATTCCTTTCAAGTGCATCCACTGGAGGACTTCCCTTTGTCCCACACCCTGCTGCAAAAGCCCGGTCTGCACGGGTTTGATGGGGGCGTTCCAGCGTTGGAATGGCCTGGTGAATCAATGGCAGGGCCGTCGTTTTTCTGGAAGAATCTTGAACCAAGGGTATCTGAGTGTGAAATCGTGAGAAACTTGCTGGAAAGTTGCATGCCGAGGCACTGGAAAAGGACATCAACTCCACCCAAGACCTACCACTGGAAACTGTTCGTGTTAGTGACAGGAGATCTGCCGAAAATGAAACATGATGCGTCCCACGTCGTTGCCGCATTCAGTGTCCAAAAACGCTAAATGCCCAAAGAAAGAGGGGTGATTTGGATGGTCACGACTGCAAGTGTGCCAAGCACGAGTCGGAATGAAAGCCCATGTGATGAGTCCATTTTTGCCCTGCACCTGCTCCAGAAGTTGCAGCGTGCCAAAATGATTCTACTACAGTATATGCATCTATATGCTGCCTCTCTTCGAGCAGCTTCAAACAAAGCCCAAGCAAAACAGCACAAAGCATCCATTGTGGGGTTCCTCAGTGCCATCTTGGGCCCGGCCGGCTCTATGATCGAGTCATTCTGACCAGCTGGTCAGCTGGTCAGCTGGTCGTTGGGCTTCTCCGTCGCTCACTCGAGCTCGATGACAGAGGCCGCACCCATGCCACTTCCAAGGCACATGGATGTGACACCGAACTTCTTATTTTGACGCTTCAGCTCAGGCAAGAGGGTGGCGATCTGTCTGGCCCCTGTGGCGCCCAAGGGATGGCCCAGGGCAATCGCACCACCCTTAGGGTTCACCTTTTCCATGGGGATCTTCAGGTGATCGATCGACATGGTCGCTTGGGATGCAAAAGCCTCATTGATCTCGTAGATGTCAATATCCTCCACCTTCAATCCGGCCTTTTCGAGTGCGGGAGGGATGGCAAACGCAGGGCCAATACCCATGAGCTTGGGGTCCACGCCCACACAGGCAAAGGAACGGAAACGTGCCACGATGGGCAAACCCAAGTTCTTGGCCACTGAGCGCCGAGCCAGAAGCACCATGGCGGCGCCGTCGGTCACTTGACTGCTGTTCCCTGCAGTGGTGCTGCCTCCAGCCTTGAAAGCAGGCTTCAGCTTGCCAAGGCTTTCCTTGGTCGTGCCGCCTCGTGGACCTTCATCCTTATCCACAATGACCTTCTTGATGCTGCCATCCTTTTGCTTCGACTCAATGGTCACCGGCACAATCTCCTCTTTGAACCAGCCATTCTTCTGAGCTTCCAAAGCCTTCAAATGCGAATCCGCTGCCATGGCATCTTGGCGATCACGGGGAATGCCATACGCCGCAGCGACGTTCTCACCTTGGTTGGTTTGATGTTGGAATGTTATATACTTGGTTTCCACGAATTCCACAATATTCGCAACAGATCAGTCAGTGGGATTCGGCGGGTTCAAATTCACATATGGCCCAGGCACTCCATGGGACTGGCATATATTTGCATACATTGGGGTGGTTTCAGGCCAAAGGAGCGGCATATATTCCATACATGGAGTGTTTGGCTTTAATGGTCGAAAAGCCAAAAACAATCAAAAACATATCTAATAACGATCGCCTAGCCACTGGTGAGGCCCATGGGAAGCAGGCAGGCCTCCGCATCCGGGTAGTCCAGCACATCTTTGGAAAGCTTGGTGATGTCAATGGTGGCCATCATCGGGAACATGCTCATATTCTCGACTCCACCGGCTAAACCTATATCGATGACACCCGATTTGATGAAGGCCGCGATGGTGGCAGTGGCCTGCAAGCTGCTGCTGCATTGACGATTCACGGTGCTCAAAGGGATCTCATAAGGGAGCTCAGCAATGAACTGCCCCATGCGTGAGGTGAGACCACTGGCACCTGGCTGCAGGACGTTACCGATCTGAATGTCACCAATGTCCTTTGGATTCACCTTGGTCCTGGCCACCACCTCCTTGAAGACAGCTGCAAGCAGAAGTTCCGGTGCCGTGTCCTTGAAGGCCCCACGCTTCGCCTTGCACAACGGCGTGCGCACCGCACAGCAAATGACCACATCGTCATCCGCCTTCTCCGCCGCACAATAGCCGGCAGTGGGCTGGACCCCCCAAAGGACTTTCCTGCGCTGCACCCGCACCCTCCCTCACGTGGCTGGCAAGGCGTGCGATGCGGTTCATGGGTCGCGGTTCTGCTTGGAAGCTGCTGCTTTTTGGTCGGTGTCGAGAGCCCAAATGGCTTTCGTACCCACCGTGACCCAAGGAAAACGTATAGTCCGACTTGAAAGAGGTAACAAGTGGGACAAGTCACTTCAAGTCTTATCCCTTTAGGATGCCTTGCCCTCACGCTCTTCAGGATGAGTTGCTCTCGTGCTCAACCATGGACACAGCTAGGAGGCATATTCTTAGCAACATATCAACCAGTTCTGTGTTGCGAAGAGTTGTTTGCAAACACTGAGACAGACGATATGAGGTCAAAACTCTGGCAAAGAGCAAATTGGACAAGAGTCTGACGAGTCCTCCAGCAAAGAGCAGTGAACTTTGAAGGGGGTTTTTGGCACTGTCCACACACACAAGCGAATGCAAGCAGGATTGTGCATTGAAAATGACATGTGTTGAACAAAGCCCTCATCCCCGTCCACGTTTTGAAAGGCGAGGTGTCGCAAGGCTGTTGCAGACTTCAAACCTTCAAGCGTCATCTGAAAACAACAAACGTCATTACAGGCTTCAAGATCTTCTAAAAGCCTATCAACAAATAAACAACATGAAAAGGACCCCCGATTTTTCAAGTTGTAATCCCTAAGTCTTCTGAGGAAAACCAACCAGAATCGCCAAAACACATCAACAACTACAAAGCCTCAAATGTTGACCATGCCCGTGATGGGGACCAAAATCTTTGACTCCAAACATGGCACCGTTCGGCCGTTTGGTGGCCTTCCAAGTCCACCAACTTGGAAATGGGGTTTGCCGGTTTGCCTCATCGCTCAGACACGAACATTTGGACAAATTTGGTTGCTTTAGCTGTCGTGAGTTGGGCAACACTCAGAAACAAACCTATTTTAGTCTTAACATTGTCGGTGCGTTGAGTCGGACACGTTGGGAACTTGACGCTGAAAGTTGTCGCCCACCTGGGCAACCCCCAACCACATTTGTCCCTCGCTCGGCAATTTCCCGTGGTGTCGCTATGATTGAATCCAAGACCACGACCAACACCAACACATGAATCATATAAACAACTTGAACTCTAAACAGTTGATCTGCATTACCCATTCCAGCTTTGGTGCTCCACCCACGTCATGAGCCTGGACCAATGGCCGAGCTTAGGCCGTGTGCCAAACATCCGACGCCTCATCCCGCCTTCGTTATCTTGTTGGAGGACAGATCTACCTGATTTAGTGTGAAAATTTGGTGAAGACTTAATTATGTGATGTCGATTTCCAAATGTGTTGTCTTTTATCTGGTCTTCCAATCTCAGAGTTCAACAGCTTTCCAGAACTCTCAATCTTTTCCAGGCCTGACCATTGTTGGCCGAGTAACAAAGACCAACTGGCTCAGACCATCCAGATTTTCCATGCCTGCAACATCTTCCAAACGGGTTAGTCTGAACAGCTGCCACGATCAGAAAAGCACGACACCTGACTGTGTCTAGAAACCTTTGGGCTATAGAATGCTATCCGGCAATACCCCTGTCGAACAGGATCTTCTCGTATGCTGCTTGTTCCAATGGTATCTGGGCGTCATACGCACGATTTTGTTCTTGGAAAGATCCAACCAGCGCAAGTTGCAGCCTTGGCAGCTCAATCTGTTCGGTCTCTCTGCGACGATGCATAGGGAAGTGGAACAAAAGGATCACACCACAAGTCAAGAATAAAATAGAGAGCCATCAGCAATGTGCACCTCATATTTTTTAAACTTGAGGCAGCCAACAGAAACGGTGTTGTTTCCAGCCTCACCAAAATTCACAGACTTCTTAGGAGGGAGGGCAATCTGCATTACTGCAACCCACTATAAATAGGCTATTAAAAAAAAGTCCTTTAAAGGGTTATAAAAGTATATAGAAGAATATAGAATGATATAAAAGAATATATATAACAGAATATATTTCACGAATGGTGGTTTTGAGAAACAACTGTTACATCATGGATTCATACAGTGCCGCCAGCTGGTGCCTTTTCTCTTTAAGAGAACTCGGTCCATGCCTTTTGCATGAAAAGTCCTTGCCAGTCAGTGACTCCACCAAAAAAGCTAAGCTTCCACAGAGACGTCTCAAGAGAGCTAGTTAGTTGCTAGCTAGCTGGGTTCTTATTGTAGGTGTTGCTAGGTTCTCAGTTATAGTTGAACAGTGGTAAATCAGTGGTATCAGTAAGTAGACATGTGAACACTTCTGGTCTTTTTCCCAACTACTTCGTCCTGCGGCGCTTGCTGCTGGGTGAAGATTGAGCTTCATGCAACCCTGTTTCAGGGGTGAACGATTGCAGGATCCTGTCAATCTGCAAATCCATTTTAAATTGCAGGCGCTTATTAATTAAGGACAAGTTGTGTGATCTCTGGCCTTCAACAGCCAGCGGGTATGCTCAGGCACGCTTGCGGATGTTGATGTTTCTTCCATGATCGTAGAGCCCCCGGCTTAGGATACGCTTCCAGAATTCATTTGTCACCAGTCTGACTCTTACTTTGATCCGCACCTGCCTTGATGATCCCTTTTCGCGTTGAAATTCTTGGTGTGCTTTCAGGGCATACAAACGCCTGTTGTCGGTGGCGTAGACGCGGCCATCAATCTCGTATCCGTCTAAGCAAAGAAAATCCTTCTTCATGGTATCAAACTTCCGAGCATTGAGTTCTTCAATCAGTCTTTTAACAGAGCTCCCATCACGGAAGTGTGATGACATGCTGTATTGAGTATACAGCAATTCATCAACAGGAAGTGCCTTCATGATCCAATCCTCGTCTGTGTTGTGCACTGTGTTGTCGTTATCGCACTGTGCTCTCGTCGCTGGTACAACTGCTGGTACACTGCCTGACTTGCGGTCCGTGGTGCCTTCTTGATCGGAGAGCCAATCCTCGTCTGTGTTGTGCACTGTGTTGTCGTCATAGCGTCGTCTTTTTGGAAGTGGCTCGTCATAGCACTGTGCTCTCTTCGCTGGTACACCTGCTAGTACACTGCCCGACTTGCGGTCGCCTTCTTGGGAGAGCGTAGTTTCAAATGCACCCCACGTCTCCCACACCCGTTTTTTTTTTTGTTTATTTGTTCCCAAGAGTGCCATCCTGGCACCCATGGAGCCCCCCTCTGTCCGATAACGGGGTTGTGATGTATCAAAGTCACTGCCTTCGTTGCACTGAAAATGATAGTCATCATCGTTGGTTTTGAATATCCATAAGAAGCTGCTTTTCCCGTGCTTGGCCTTAAACACCGGGAAACCACATCTCTCAAAGCCCGCATGTTGATACTTGTAGAGCTCCTTGTTCTTCTTTGGGCCAATGCAGAATCCTGGTGATGTTGCGGTCTTGTCCATCAGGGAAGCGGAACACAAGACGTAAGACCAAGAGTGATTTTGCGGATTCACTTTTGGACGTGACTGCTTGGCTTGAGCCCAAGTGCCCACATTTGTCTTTTGAGTTCTGATCATCCACGGCAATGAGAACACTCGACAGGACGACACTAAGCTTCCCACATTTATTCATCACGTGATGTGATAGCTATCTTTCACTGCTTTGCTATGTTTTGCTCATATCATGCTGCGCCTTAGAGTGCTGTAAAAATGACCGAAAACACCGCGGCCCGAAGTTTCTGCTTGCCTCTCCGGTGCTCCAGTTCTCCAGCTGACAAGCTCGCCCCATTTCACCTTGGGAAATCGACTCGGATGTCCATCACCCCATCTCAACTCGCCAACTACTCCCAGCCAATTCACTGGATGCGTTTTGTGGCAACATCCGGTGGCACTGCCAACATCTGCCAACTTTCTGACGGATCTCCTCGGTCCAAAAGAAGAGGTCCGCCTCTTCGCGGGGCAGCAGCACTGCAGCTTTTTATCCCTCACTCCGCTGGCATTGTTTAACGAAAACATTGGCCTCCAGGATTCCCAAAGGCAATAGGCCCTCTTTCCCGGACTTCTCGCCCCCATTCGCGAGCTTTCCAAGGGCCCAGTTCTTCCAAAGGTCTCCCAATCGCTGGCAAATCAAGATCACGTCCCCGCGCTTCACGGTCAAAAACTCCTCCGCCTAGAAAAAAGGGCATGGCAGCCATGGCATGGTATACAACCCTTAAAAGTGGTCCCATAGTAGTGGTCCCCCAAATAGATTCAGATAGTGAGACTACGGTGTCCAATACATGTTGAAGTGGCGATCTACGAACTTCTATCTATTTGGGGGGGTCGATAAGGGTCTATAAAGCACTTAGAATTCCTAGATATATTCCTTCAATTTCCTTCAGAATCTTTGGTTCGACGTTCCGCATCTTCGACACGTTATTGTCTATTCAGAGGAAACATGACAAAACAAAAAAAGTTGATGCACACAAAAGTCACCTCAGAAACCTTTGCCCCCTGCCTGGTGTGGCCAGTCTGACTTGGGAGCAAAGTCTTTTTGGACAGTGTACTTGCAGATCTGATCGCTTGAGATCAGTTTCGTCAACTCACGGCTGGTCGGCGTTCGGGCGAAGAAGTTCAAGGAGCCATCCTGAGAGCACGCTGGACCCTCCATCCTCCAACCGACTGCATGGCCACACATGAATAATCCATCATTACTTGTGCAAATCATGCCCATCTCAAACCCACGTCGTTCGAGTCTAAACGTCTAACCCATGCAGCCCGCATCCTTCACTTCCAAATGGACAGCTCAATCCCAACCAAGCATCTTCGCTGGCACT